TATTATGCAAAAACCAAATTGTATCCAAAGTACAAATATGAAAAAAGTAGCATATTTTCCCAAAAAGTTGTTCATTAGAATTCAGCAACTAGTAGATAACTATTTTACGATATACATACTTGTCTGCATACTCTGCTTAATGTAATCAGATTGCAGAATAAAATTTAATATATATATATATATATATATATATATATATAAATTCAGTAAAATAAGATTTCGACTATAAACTGAAAATGTTCTTCAAAATAGAAGTTGGAAACAAGGGTGCATATAAATTTTTAAACCGACTTCATAGTTTTTCTGTTTTCCTACATATAAAATCAAATCAAGTCAATTGTTAATGTATTAGTGGCTAATGCTTGCATATAATAACCGAGGTTAACTATTATAAAAAAAATCATGTATAAAACAATTATCCACATGAAATTGATAAAATAGAAAATTAGTAAATTTAATGAAATAAGATAAATTCATTGCTTATTGTAATAAAATTAAATTAGTAAAACCAAATGAAACAAAAAGCGTTTTTTTTAATAAATTCTATATATTTTTTCCTGATTATTTTTCCAACTCTCGATAAATTTAATTTTTAATTCAAAAATATAATATTATAACCATTGCTGTGATGATGTGATATTAATTGCATAATTAAAAATAAATAAGAATTTTTTTTCTAAAAATGCCTAATAATACTATATTAATATGTAACCGCATTTTTTTCGGAAAAATAATAGATCATATGAAAATTAAAAAGATCAATCATTGAAGATCACCGCCAGACTTTATAATGATATAATATTATATATATATATATAATATATAAAATAATATAATAGAAGTTGGAAGCAAAAGGTGCACATAAATTTTCAAACCAATTTTAGAGTTTTTTTGTTTTCCTACAAATAAAATCAAATCAGATCAATCGTTAGTTGCTACTGCTTGCATAAAATAACCGAGTCAAACTATTATGAAAAATTTCATATATAAAACAATTATCCACATAAAAATGTAAAATAGAAAATTATTAAATTTAATGAAATAAGATAAATTCATTCCTTGTTATAATAAAATTAAATTAGTAAAACTAAATGAAACAAAAAGCGTTTTTTTTAGTAAATTCTATATTTTTTTTCCTAATTATTTTCCCTACTATCGATAAATTTAATTTTTGATTCAAAAATATAATATTATAACCAGTGCAGTGATGATGTGATATCAACTGCATAATTAAAAATAAATAAGAATTTTTTTTTAAAATGCCTAATATTATTATATTAATATGTAACCGCATTTTTTTTCAGAAAAATAATAGATCAGATGAAAATTAAAAATACATAAAATCGATCATTGAAGATCACATCCAGGCTCTATATTAATATAATATTAAAAACGCAAGCAATTAATTGCGAACGTAAATGAAATGATATATATATATATATATATATATATATATATATATATACTAATGCACTAAAATTTGAAACACTAAAAGATATAATCCATGAACAAAGGAATATAGATATTAAAAACTGCAATAGAAAAACCGTTTTCGGAAACTCGGAATTTTGGAGAGCCATTTCTTTGAACCGTATTTATAGCAAGAAAATTTGTAAATTTAAATAAACTTATCTTTTGCCACTGTCCAACAAAAATATTTATAGTATAATTTATTTAGTAAATAAAATCGACCCAAAGCTACCTTGCTTTTGATTCCATGGACATGATTTTATTTTTCAAACATATTAAGAGAACATGAAAAAATTGAAAATTATATTTAAAGCGGACATAAACAAAATCCATTGGCTAAAAACAATATATAAATTGATTATGATAAATTCAAACAAAAAAATTGTTATTAATTTAGTAAATAATATGTAAAATCAATGATTTTGTATCAAAATTCAAAGACGTATTCGATCAAGGGCGGAAAGATTAAAATAGACTAAATTGAAGAAAATTCAAATTTAAAAATCATGATGAGTTTCTGAGAAAAAGAAATGATCTGGAGAAATCCATAACGTTCGAAAAAATGTTGTATTTAGTTAAAATTGAAACAAAAAATTTGATATATAATACAAATTGATTTGTTAGTGATATACTGGTGAGTGATTTTTAACTAAAGACTAAAACATATATGGATTGTATTGTTAGTGAAATGTATTAGAGTGTGTATATTTATCAAGGGCTGTTTTGGTCCTAAAGGATCAAAATATTCTAAATTAAAAACAAATTTAAAATTTAAAAAAGGTGATGAGTTGCTAAGAAAAAGGAATGATCTGGATCTCCAAAACGTTAAAAAAATGTGATATTTAGTTAAAATTAAAACAGAAAATTTTATATATAATACAAATTGATTTGTTAGTGATGTACTTAAGTGGTTTTTCACTGATTTCGACTTAACATATATGGATTGTATTGTTAGAAAAATATTTTAGAGTGTGCATATTTATCAAGCATGATATTAGCGGACATATAAAAAATTCATTGGCTAAAAATAATATAAATTGATTATGATAAATTCGAACATAAAACTTGTTATTAACTTATTATTAGAAAATAATATGTAAAATCAATTATTTTGTATCAATATTCAAAGACATATTTCAATCAAGGGCTGAAGTTTTGAGCCTCAAAATACTCGAAAATAAGAACAAATTCAATATTTAAAAGTCATGATAAGTTTCTGAGAAAAAGAAATGATCTGGATTTCCAAAATGTTAAAAAATGTGATATTTATTTAAAAATGAAACAGAAAATTTAATATATAATACAAATTAATTTGAACATATATGATTGAAACATATATGTATATATGTATTGTATGTATTTATAGCAAAATATATTAGAGTGTGTATATTTATCAAGCATAAAATATTGTATTTTAGTATATATTATAATATTAATTAATATTATAATAGATATAGCGTGCCATGAGTTTATTAGAGTGGCATATATTTTATAAAAAACCAGAGAAATGTGTCATGTTTTCTAATGAGTTTAAAGTGCAATATGATAATTGATTTAGCTCGGAAATATAAGTAATTCAATGATATTGTGTTCTAGATTCTTGCATTGCTTAACAGTATCTAGTTTGCAAAAATTAGCAAAAAATGATTAAAATTAAAAAAATATTTTTTATTTGGAAAAAAATTATATTATTATATAGGACCATAGAATTTATATTACATAGTTTACAGTCAAGCGTAAAATAAGTATGTATAAAGATAGAAGGGATTATGACGTCACTTGCTGAACAAGCGTTGTCGACAATCGTAGAACTCTCTTGATTGATTAAATGTCATATGTCATATGTTTTATTTTAATAATAATAATGGAAATTGTGATATTAATAATATTTAATAACTTTCATCATAATAGGTAAAGCAATATAATTTAAATATTATCTGAAATTATTCATATCACATCTTGAAAATTCATCAGCTCACATAATTGCCATTATATTATTGAAATAAAACTATCACATATAATTTTTGAATAACATTGACTATTATAATAAATATTATTAGCTATCATTAATATCATTTCTTACAAAATTATCAGTCCACACAATTGCCAATGTATTATTGAAATAAAACTATTACAGATAATTTAAAAATTAAATTGAGTATTATAACAAATATTATTTCTTTCAGAAGTACCTTTTTACAAAATCATTAGTCAACATAATTGTAATTATATTATTAATATAAAACATATGACATTTGACAATTAATCAATCGGGATTGTCTACGATTGTCGGCAATGCTCGTTCAACAAGCAATGTCACAGTACCTTCTTACTTTATACACTTTATAAAATAAAAAAAAACATATGGGGACTAGCAGTCCATATAAGGACTAAGTGACTCGAAAAATTGACGGTTCTACTCCAATCAGTGGGAGAAAGTTATCTTTATCATTTGGCATTGCCGTGCTTTATATAATTAAAATAGTATAAATAACTGATATTTATATAGGTATGTAAAATCAAATTTAGTATCTAAAAGCTGGTTCAGAAAACAACGTCACAGTACCTTCTTACTTTATACACTTTATAAAGTAAAAAACATATGGGACTAGCAGTCCATATATGGACTAAGTGACTCGTAAACTATCCCAAAATTGACGGTTCTACTCCAATCAGTGCGAGAAAGTTTTCATGATCATTTGGCATTGCAGTGCTTTATATAATTAAAATAGTATAAATAACTGATATTTATATAGTTAAGCAAAATCAAATCTTGTATCTGCAAGCTGGTTCAGAAAGCAACGTCACAGTACCTTCTTACTTTATACACTTTATAAAATAAAAAAACATATGGGGACTAGCAGTCCATATAAGGATTAAGTGACTCGTGAACTATCGAAAAATTGGCGGTTCTACTCCAATCAGTGGGAGAAAGTTTGCATTGTTATTTGGCATTGCCGTGTCAAATAAATTAAAATAGTATAAATAACTGATATTTATATAGTTAAGCAAAATCAAATCTTGTATCTGCAAGCTGGTTCAGAAAGCAACGTCACAGTACCTTCTTACTTTATACACTTTATAAATTAAAAAAACATATGGGGACTAGCAGTCCATATAAGGACTCGTACACTATCCAAAATTGACGGTTCTACTCCAATCAGTGGGAGAAAGTTTTCATGGTCATTTGGCATTGCAGTGCCTTATATAATTAAAATAGTATAAATAACTGATATTTATATAGGTATGCAAAATCAAATCTAGTATCTGCAAGCTGATTTAGAAAGTAATGTCACAGTACCTTCTTAATTTATGCACTTTATAAATTAAAAATAAAACATATGTGAATTAGCAGTCCATATAAGGACTAAGTGACTCGTACACTATCCAAAATTGACGGTTCTACTCCAATCATTGGGAGAAAGTTTTCATTATTATTTGGCATTGCAGTGTTTATATAATTAAAATAGTATAAATAACTGTGATCAAAACTTGTATCAAAAAAAATCCAAATATTTAATTTTTTTCAGCACCGGGGAGCAGAAAATTGTTGTATCGATGTGGAGGCGCTATGATCAACAAGGACTACGTGATTACTGCTGCACATTGTGTGACAAATCTTCCACAAACATTGCAATTGTGAGTAAATAAAATAAATTGATAAGTAGCCTTTTGACTTAAGACAAGTTGCATAAACTTTCCGGTACGAACAACGGAATGAATTTAATCAATAAGAATTGCGACTTGCAATATGGCAGTTTAATTTAATATGATAATATCAGGATCGTAACTTTTGGAAGCCTGGGTATTATTTGTCCATTACTCTTTTGTCGACGAGATTTGGCACAGAAATTGTAAATTGTAATAGTCATCTTAATTCAAATCCTGGCCTGCAGGAGTTGACTAATGTTTTAAATATTCCTGAGGAGACTATCTCCTTATTTGAGTACATATTATTTTGTTTCCTGTTAACAATAATACTAATATATTCGGTAAAAATAAATCTAAATTTTTACCGAAAATTTATTTTAAAAAAATTTTGTTTAAAATTTTGGTTTATTGTTTAAAATTTTGGTTTTCATGGTCGACTTTTGGCTTCTGATGCCGGTCAACTTCAATCATTTTTCCTATTTTATCGACATTTTCGAGGACCGGCCTACCCGTGGGTGGCGGATCTTTATCATCAAAAATTTGGAAAAGATTCTACTAAACCAATACTGCACATAATTTGCTGTTACAATAGCGGATCCATTCACAATAATAGCCTCTTGGCTTGCATTTTCCCTTTTCCAAAAAAAAAAACTGTAAAATGCACCAAATTTTCTTTTTGTTCACTTCCATTTTTAACACCCTGTAACTCACAACTGAATGGACCAAAAAAGAGCACAATATTTTTTTTATTTTGAAATGTCACAATGTATTTTTTTCAGCAACTTGAACGACAAATATCAAACTCAACAAATATTAATAATAAAAATGATAATTATTAGCATTATCACTTATTATTTCATTATTATGGAGACGGTTGAAAATTCCAATTTGGATCTGTGATGATAAACTTTGTTTTGAAATTGCAATGCACTGGAAGAAGACAAAAAAAACTAGAGATAGTTTTTTATTTTCATCTTTTGCCAGTGTCGAACAAAAAAAATTGTACTATAATTTAGTAAATAAAATCGACCCAAAGCTCACTTGCTTTTCTCCATGGACATGATTTTATTTTTCGAACAATTTGTTAAGCGAACACGAAAAATTTAAAAACTTATATTTAAAGCGGACATATAAAAAATCCAAATTGATTATGATAAATTCAAACATAAAATTTGTTATTAATTCAGAAAATAATATGTAAAATCAACTATTTTGTATCAAGATTCAAAGACGTGTATTTAATCAAAGGCTGAAGTTTGAGGCCTGAAAAATCAAAATAGTTCAAATTAAAATTACTTATTTTAATATACTTTCTATTCATAAGAAATAAGTGTAGTGTGAAAAATCTGATAGAAAAGTTGGTATATATTCCGGAAGTTATAACATTACAATTTTTATTTTAAAATTGTGATATCATATTTTGTTTATTATTATATTACTAAATATGAAGTAATTTTTATAGAGTAATATAGAGATTATATTGATATTACTAAATATATATATATATATATATATATATATATATATATAGAGAGAGAGAGAGAGAGATATAATAAAAATATGAATAAAAATTTATTGTTCAGATAATAAAAAAGGGACAAAAATGTCGATAACAAATAACAATATATTTGTTCAATAAGATCATTTTGTAAAAAGATTTCTATAATAATATTTTTTTAATAATGCAGTTTAAATACTTTGCATGGCCAAAAAAAAAATGAAAATTATAATTTGCCAATAAGGCTGTGAGAATAAATATTATATGTTAATATGATTTTTTAAATTCTATAAATTCAAAACTTTAACAACATTATTAACATATGTAATAGCAAAAATAGTATTTCAGTCTTGAATTAATTATTAAAAAATTGCAAGAGCAGGATTGAACAGAGGTTTCGGCAGACAAAGTTTCAATAAGTTTTTATAAAAACTTTATAATTAGGCGCGAAAATGTTATAAAAATAAATTTTACGTCTGCAAAAATATCTATAAAAAGTTCCATGAAATATCTGAAATCGTGCAATCAGCTTGACTAATGAATAAAATATTATTTATTCAGATTAAAATTATATTTTTGTCAAATTTTTGGCGAATAAATTAACAAGTCAATTTGAAAATATCACCTTAGAGTAACAAAAAGTGTTAAAAAACTTACTGATGTTTATAATAAATTATGCCAAACATTTTGAGCAGTAGAAAATATTTACTAGGAAAGATGGGAAAACTATTTAGTAAGCATTATCCATTATTCTTTAATTTCATGGAGGCGTTTGCAAATTTCAATTTGGATCGGTAAACTTTTTTTATACTCTTTAGTTTATTATTTTTATCTTTTGCCAGTATCGAACAAAAAAAAAAAATTATACTATAATTTAGTAAATAAAATCGACCCGAATCTATCTTGCTTTTTTCCATGGACATGATTTTATTTTTCAAACAATATGTTAAGCGACCACGAAAAATTTGAAAACTTATATTTAAATATGACATATAAAAAATCCATCGGCTAAAAAAATATCGATTATGATGAATTCGAACATAAAATTTGTTATTAATTTAAAATATAATATGTAAAAATTCAAAGACGTGTATTTAATCAAAGACTGGGGTTTGAGGCCTGAAGGATAAAAATAGTCGAAATTTAAATTACCTATTTTAATACACTTTTTATTCATAAAAAATAAGTGTGGAGTAAAACAATCTATCAAAAAATCGGTATATTTTCCGAAAATTATAACAATATGTTTTTTATTTTAATATTGTGATAAATGTCATATTTTGTTTATTATTATATTACAAAATATAGAGAAACTTTTTATAGAGTAATATAGAGTTTATATTGCCATTACTAAATAACATAGATAGAAAGAAATATAATAAAAATATGAATAAAAATTAATTGTTCAGATAATAAAAAAGGGACAAAAATGTCGATAACAAATAACAACATATTTGTTAAATAAGATCATTTTATAAACATATTTCTTTAATAAGATTTGTTTAATAATGCAGTTTCAAGACTTTGGATGGCCAAAAAGAATGAAAATTATAATTCGCCAATAAGGCTGTGTGGGATTAAATATTATATGTTAATTTGATTTTTTAAATTCTAAAAATTCAATAATTTATCAACATTATTAACATATGTGATAGCAAAAATAGTATATTCCAGTCTTGAAATAATTTTTACAAAATTGCAAGAGTAGGATGAACAGAGGTTTCGGCAGACAAAGTTTCATTAAGTTTTTGTAAAAACTTTATAATTAGGCGCGAAAATGTTATAAAGATAAATTTTACGTCTGCAAAAATATCTATAAAAAGTACCAAGAAATAACTGAAATAGTGCAATCAGCTTGACTAATGAATAAAATATTATTTATTCCGATTAAAATTATATTTTTGACGAATTTTTGGCGAATAAATTAACAAGTCAATTTAAAAATATCACCTTAGAGTAACAAAAGGTATTAAAGCACTTACTGATGTTTATGATAAATTATGCCAAACATTTTGAGCAGTAGAAAATATTTACTAAGAAAGATGGCAAAACTATTTATTAAGCATTATCCATTATTCTTTAATTTTATGAAGACGTTTGAAAATTTCAATTTGGATTCGAAAAGATAACTTTTCTTATACTCTTTAGTTTATTATTTTTATCTTTTACCACTGACAGACGAAAATATTTGTAGTATAATTTAGTAAATAGAATCGACCCGAAGCTATCTTGCTTTTTTCCATGGATATGATTTTATTTTTCAAACAATATGTTAAGCGAACAAGAAAAATTTAAAAACTTATATTTAAATCGGACATATAAAAAATTCGTTAAAGCTAAAAATAATATAAATTGATTATGATAAATTCGAACATAAAATTTGTTATTAATTTAGAATATAATAGGTAAAATCAATTATTTTGTATCAAGATTCAAAGGTGTGTATTTAATCAAAGACTGAAGTTTGAGGCCTGAAATATCAAAATAGTCGAAATTAAAATTACTTATTTTAATATACTTTCTATTTATAAGAAATAAGTGTAGTGTGAAAAATCAAACAAAAAAGTTGGTACATTTCCCAAAAATTATAACATTAAGATTTTTATTTCAAAATTGTGATAAATATCATATTTTGTTTATTATTATATTACTAAATATAGAGTAATTTTTTATAGAGCAAAGGTTTATATTGATATTACTAAATATATAATATTACTATATATAGATATAATAAGAATATGAATAAAAATTAATTGTTAAAATAATAAAAAAGAGACATAAATGTCGATAACAAATAACAACATATTTGTTCAATAAGATCATTTCGTAAAAATATTTCTTTAATAAGATTTGTTTAATATTGCAGTTTAAAGACTTTGGATGGCCCAAAAAAATTAAAATTATAATTCGCCAATAAGGCTGCGAGAATAAATATTATATGATAATTGGATTTTTTAATTTCTAAAAATTCAATAATTTAACAACATATGTAATAGCAAAAATAGTATTTCAGTCTTGAAATAATTTTCACAAAATTGCAAGGACGAGCGGCAGGACAAAGTTTCAATAAGTTTTTGTAAAAACTTTATAATTAGGCGCGAAAATGTTATAAAGATAAATTTTACAACTGCAAAAATATCTATAAAAAAGACCCAGAAATATCTGAAATCGTGCAATCAGCTTGACTAATGAATAAAATATTATTTATTCCGATTAACATTGTATTTTTGAAGAATTTTTGGCGAATAAATTAACAAATCAATTTAAAAATATCACTTTAACAAAAGTATTAAAAAACTTACTGATGTTTATAATAAATTATGCCAAACATTTTGAGCAGTAGAAAATACTAAGAGAGATGGCAAAACTGTATCACTTTTTAAATGCATCTAAAAAAATTCGGATTTAATTTTACAAACAATACATTGAAATTGCTATATTTTAAAGTAAAGGCCAATTTTAAGAAAGAAATAGTTAAACCAATCAAAAT